TTTTCGTTTATTTGTTTCCTTTATTCTTTCTTCCGCTCGATAAGTCATTCCCTTTGCCCCATTTATTGAAACTGAACAGTCATCTGAAAATTTTGGAAATCGGGTTATGTTTTGGAAAAATGAAAGTAACCTGTTTTGTGCCTGTGAAATTGAATGCCTGGAATGGAAGCATTCCCGAGTATCCGCACATATACTGGTTGATGAGAAAAGTGTTGTGCTCGGCACACTCATTTTTTTGCAGGTGAATGTTGAAAAGGTCCTGGAACGTGACCAGAAATTATCACAGTTGGATGATCGTGCCGACGCCCTCCAGGCAAGCGTTTCAAATGTTTTTTTTTATGCCTTTTGTGCTGTGTAACAGCGTTACAAAACGCATATTGTGTGTGTTTGTGTGTGTGTGTCCCACATTTTGTCCCGCACTTTCAACTCGGGAACCACGAAAGCTTGGCGGCTGAAATTTTGGTACAATGTTCCCCGCCAACGGGTGACGCGGCAAATTTAAATTCAGCCTTCCTTTACCTGTAGGTAACGCGTACGGCCCCGGGAAAGTTTTTTACGGGTAAATTAATATCTCAGGAACCACGTAGTCTAGAAGGCTGAATTTTTGGGGTAATGACTCCCTGCCCATGCCCAACCTTGCCCATTCAAGTTCAGCCTTCCCTTACCCGCGAGTAACACGTACACCCACCGTGAAATTTTTTTACGGTAAGTTATCTCGGGAACCACGGGGTCAAAGAAGCTGAAATTTTAGAGCGATGACCCTCTGCCCACGCTCAACCTTGTCTATTTAAATTCAGCGTTCCCGCGCTTTTGAGTATCTCCTACGACCTCGTGGAAATTTTGACGGGCAAGCTATTAACTCGGGAGTCACGGAAAGATATTCACCCTTCAAGGTTTCGAATTCAGCTTTCATGCGCTGGTGCGTGAAATTTTTAACCGTTTTCCAATGTTTGAACTATTTTTGCATAGACAAAAGCACAAAGCAGTGAAAGTGATTAATAGGCAATCGTTCGATGGGCTGAATTGCACAAAACGCATAATCGCACCGGCTAGTCTGGTACGCGTTGCTTTTTTTTTTTCGAAAATCACAAAAAATAATCTGACTTTATGAGCAACTCCTCATAAACAGCATGCAAATACGAGAAAGCAGATGGATTTAGCATCTTCCTTTTCATCCGTTTTACTCGCCGCGGTGCGAGCAACTCACTGCTGGGTACATTTCTCAGCCAGATTTCTGTTTAACCGGCTAGCAAGTCTCCCCCTAAAAAACCAGTCTTCAGCTGCTTTAAGCTGCATGGTTATGCCAACGGTGTGGGGAGCTTTTCGACTCCTCATTTGAAAGCCTAAATTTGCTGTCCTGTTAATCCCTACAACGGAAGTTTCCAACGTGCCTGGTAGTGGAAAGCTGGCACCTAACGTGAACACTCTCACTGGAAATCTCAGACCAAATCTCTCACTAGTGGTACATTTTTTTTTGGCATTTATCGGTGTGTCACGTAGAAAAACCAGTTGTTATGTTAAAGAAGTATTTTTGTTTGCACTTCTTGGCCATGTTTGCGCATTTTTCTAGTGCGCCATTGTAAATCTGAAACGGCGGATTAGTTTGTTCCGTTTGACGAGGAGGGCTGCTCGGAAGAGTTGTCCACTGTGGTGGGAGCATCCGGGTGCTTGGCATCGTGCCGAGATTCCTTAATTGTGCTCAACTTTTGGTCCGAGTCCAGAGAAAGGCTAGCATTTTTGCAAACGTATAAGCCAGCTTCCCCGAAGTCGGTTATGGAAG